GTACATCTGGTCTCTTAATCACTTTTACTGCTCTTCTCTTTCTTCTTTCTTTATTGTCATATTTCTTGTTATAGGATGCCAGAATGGAATGCAGTATTTCAGATGCAGCCACTAAAAAGAAGGGATCATCCTCACTTTGCCATCAGTGTCCTGCCCCCACAAAAACACAGTGAATAAAATCACTCTGCCTTCCTTGTTCCTCCTGTCCCCTTCCAATTTCTAAATATACATTCCTTCCAAAACACATGGGATGTAGTAACCCAGAAAGATGCAAAGACTTGAGAGAAAGCAGGAGAGGACTAGGAAGGCAAAGCAAAAAAAGGAAGAGCTCAGTAGATGAAGAGTGTTTAAAACTGAATGTGGCACAGTGGCTGCAAATAGATAACAACTGATCAACGAGCAAATAGGAAAAGCAGTAGAGAACCAGGCTTTCTAAATCTTGTCTACATGATCATACCTGTAACTAAGTGGAAGTAAATCCTAACAAGGCAGAGCTTGTCTTTTACATCTGCTTTGTCAGAATGTAAATAGTTATACAGTGTGTAAGACAGCAGAAAATCAAACCCCGTGTGCTCTCAAATCTGTTGAGTCTTTTGTATGCCGCGTTTTAAAATAGGGAAATCACCAATATCAACTCTTCCCTACAAAAGTTGAGTTTCAACAGATAAGCATGTTTTTAGGGAAAAAAAAAAAAAGACCTTACATGGAAATACATCTTCAGATCCTGAAGACTTGTCTTCAGTGATTTTCCCCTGCTGGGGAAGCAGGGCAAACTGGGAAACCCCCTTGGCATGCGGAGAGGCTGTGAAACCCTGGAGCAGCACCGCCTGGGCAGGGCTGAGTGAGTGGGACTATCGCTCCGAGTGTGAGGAACACATTGGCCCAGATTCTTTGCAGATCTGTGTTGCTGTTTCTCAGAGCTGGGAGGAGAGGCTGGTCTAGCTTTCCCTGTCTGCCCCCACACTGGAGCGAGGTGACTGCCTTAACTTCTGCTATTTTCTGAAAGTCCCCAAGAAATCATTAGCTGAGATGAGCTGAATCATGGCACTTCGATCCAGCCATGTGCCTTCTTCACACACCATAACCAAGATAAAATTGCAAGCTGGCCCAAGAAGAGGATTTTGAGATCAGTGTCCACTGAGGGTGACTGCATGCAGCAGGGCAGGTCATTATGGCACAGAGGAACACTAATCCAACAGACAATCTGGTCCACTGACTTTCCCAGTGTTACAATCAGCCTTCTAGCTCATTGCTCCTTCAAAGGATATCCCAACTAGACACGAATATACAAACTTGTCAGCTGAAGCCTGCTTGCAAAAACAGCCCTGCAGCTAGAAAGGGAGTGAAAAAAAAGAAAAAAAAAGATTAAGATGACAGTGAAAAGCACTAAACTCACAAGGTTCATTTTCCACAAGGAAGAATTTTATGGCTGTAATGATTTAGTCTTATCTAAGCAGAATTTATATGGAACTTAGTCTAGGTCACGGAAATCTTAAATTGTTAATGATAAAATAATGAAAAAAAAATCATTTTACATCCATATACTTATCTATCAAAGTTAGAAGGTAAAAGACATACAAAGTACTCTGAGCAGGGGGAGAATAAAGCAGGGCTGAAATTTAGCCTGATCAGTTTAAGCATGTTAAATTCTCACTTACCATCTGATGAACTTGTAAGTGGTTATTCAACCTGGCTCCTGCTGTGGATCCTGTGCTTGTCGGAGCCTGTAAAGCCGGATTACACTTGATAAAGGAATGCACAAACCTTGGCAGTACCTGGAATACACACAGCAAGTCCTCCTACCAAGTCTTTTTCCTAGTATACACTTTACCCCAGCTCTTCCAGTCAGCTTCACTGACTGGAGGTCACCATAATTTTCTCCTCATTTTTGAGTAACAGATTTTACTAGTAAGTTCCTGACAAACAGACTGCTTAGATAAACAGGGAAGGCAAACAGGTAAAGAACCTATCCTTATAGTTTTACTAATTTACCCATGTTGCTTCCCATGGGGAGATGTTGCCTTAGCTAAAGACATGCAGGAGGCCTCAGAATTCACATTAACACATTATTACAGATAAATTGTTCTTAAACAGAATTAGTCGCTTTTAGCTAAGATCCTTTAGTATGAGGAAAGTTTAATCTACGCTGAGAGAGTATTAAAGTTGACATTCTTTGGATTAGACAGATTTTTGGTATTTCAGCATAAAAATGGAAAGCGTATCACAAAATGCAAACACGGTGTTATCCCGTGTAGTGATTAATGGCTAAACGATTTCCACATGGGTGCCTAGATCAATCACTGGACTTAGCCTGCATTTATCATATAGACAATGAAATCCAGAACAGGTCAGCAGATCATCTGGGCAGACTGTTGTTATGTCTGGAATGAAGTGCTGCAAGTGAAAAAAAAAATTATTAAAAAATCAGCTAAAAAATTTAAGCGCACTTAAAAAGAATAATAAAGGAACATAAATGTTTATGTGTGTGAGCATGTGGATGCTGAATGGAATATTCACGTATTCAGCTCAGGGTAGCAGTTGGTTGCTTATGCACTTTCTTACGGGGCTCTCTGAATGCTGATAATGTTTCTTCAAATGGAGCCAAGTTCTGGCTGCAACAGAAGGCGCCGTCCTGCAGGCCCCCAGGATCACTCCACGCAAAGCAGCAGATGGAACTTGCAGCTTGCACTCCCGTTTTTGTGGAAATATATTTTTGGTAAAGGAGGAGAATTATGTCTCTGTGATACTGCTCACTTGGCGTATATGCTTCAGCACATCATAGCTACCTTTTCAAGGAGTGGGACACTTCCTAGGAAGCGCCGAGTACCATCAGGCACTATTGAGACAACTTGAAACACTTCAGAGAAAAAACGGATTTTCCCAACAGTTAAAAAAAAAAAAAAATTGCATTAGCAATGGAGTCAAAATGTAAGAGTATCAACCACTGGAACAACGTCTTTAAAGTAAAATTTTCTCCGGTTTGAACCCTTCAGCCAAGATCGTGTCTTTCTAAATATTATCTTTAAATTCAGTCAAAAGTTTTAGGCTGATTAAAAAACTGAGATGAGGTTTTATGGAACATGCAACGCAAATTCACAAACTAATCAATTATAATAACCAAAACCTGCCTTTTTTTTTTTCCAAGCACAGATTACAAACACTTCCAGGAAATTTACTCGGTGTTCACCAGGAAGTAGTTTCCTTTTTGGGGTACCCATCACTGAAAACCTGTTTTATTTAAACAGAAAGAGAACAGAGCAGATGAACTAACAAGTGCTTTTCTTCCTGCAAGCATAAGTGGCCTAAGCAGGTGCTAGTTAGTACTGCCTAATGGGAAAATATTTGTTATTCGTTATTTACATTACCAAAGCACATGCAAGCACCTGTCATGGAGCACTTCACAAATGCAGCACAAAGGAAAAGATGTTCCCTGCCCAAAGATTAAACAGCCCTGGAGTGCCAGGAGCCAGTAAGACCACTGGGGACCACACGATGAGTACCCTGGTGCAATTGTTCTTAATTCGATTATTCCATTAAAATGGCATTTTATCAAAATGCCATTATGTGCACACTCACCAAGTCATTTTTTTTCTATGATTTACCTCAGATTATTTTTTTCAGTTACCTACTTTTAAAAAGTGAACAGAAGCTACTTCAGAAACTTAAAGTCCGTTCACAGAATTTCTGTGCATTTGGGCAAGTTCAAAATAAGCCCCCCCCCCCCCAAAAAAAAAGGGAATCCAGGTGATCAGGAAAGTACAACAAAGACAACAGACATAGTGGGAAAAGGAAACCTACGAGATTTTCTGACTTTTTAAGCGATCCTGAGAGGACAAGGATTGAGCACAGGAGCCAGTAACCCGATCCACCCAGGAGCAGCCTGAGCGGGGGACCCCGGGTCACCGGCTGCTCCCGCGTCCTCCTCGCAGCCACAGTAACCAGCGAGTATTTGGCACGGTGACACCGATTCACGCTTCCCCGACGAGGGCTGCCTCTCCCGGGGCAGCGCGAGCATGGGC